GTCTGAAGCTGCGGCGCTAGGTCGGGCGGGAGCTTTCTGGCGAGAAGAGGAGGCTGATGTAGAGCCGCCGGTGGGCTTGCGCGTGCCCTTTGATGACGATGCTGTTGCATTGGCTGTGTCCTTGGCGGCTTTGGAAGGAGGTTTGACTTTGGTGGATGATGCTGTTGCTGAGGCTGAGGGCCCCGCGGCGGTGATGGTGTCTCGCGGTCGTGGGGGATTGAAGGGGAGGCGCCGGCGCTTTTGGGTGCCTTGTCGTTCAGGAGGCATTTTATAGAATACTTGATCCCTAGATCAAGTTGCTTTTTTCCCGGTAATATGTGTATGCTTCGTGATCGGAAGCCCTGTCTTCAAGACACGGAGAGGCCGAAGACACGAGTCGCGGCCGAAACGCGAAGTCACGTGGTTCATAGTATCTGTATCCTTTCACCCTTTAGACTTCTTGGACGTCGTCACTGGTCTTGATTTGTGGTTTTCTATGCTAGGACACTAGAAAACCCATTACTTGCAATCTAGTATACAAGAGGTAGGTAATCGTGATACTTCGTTGTGGGAATTTGTATGTGGGCTCATTCTCCATATTAATACTCCGTAGCATAAATATAGAACAGGTACAGAGTACTACCCTTGCTCAATGATGCGAAACTGTCAGCGCGCACTCTTATTCCAAACACATAATGCGGTCAACTCTATACAGAACCCCTATCAACAAGAAACCTATCATCCCCCATGAGGCCGAACCACAGTAACCTCCAGCCCAGCATCTTCCAAAACCCTCCGCGAGCGTTCCCAAGCAACTCCAAATAACCCAGAATTGAACCGACAAGACCACAACTCACCAACCGACCCTTCCTGAGAAGAGTGATCCGCCTGTAATTCCGCAAGCTGCCTTTTCATATCTGCCACAGCGAGTTCGGTATTCCTGACGATGACGTCCGGTCTACTGACGGCCCGCCCGAAGCCGCGAGATGTGAATAAGCAAATGATCCAGTGTTTCTTGCCGTTCGCCTCGGAGTCGCTCTTCTGAGGAGGGATGATCAACGCAGTACCCTCTGGTAGTCGTACGTTTCGAGAGCTTCTTGCATGGGACTCTTCGCCCCGCGGCGCAGGCTCAAGTCTGTACCTGGGGCTGGACTGGAGATTCTGGCAGTGAGAACGGTAGATCGCAAAGGCAGCTGGATACTATTTGCAAGGTAAGTTACTTGAGGAGCTCAAGAAGAGATTCAATTTAGTGGGTTGGGTTACCTTGTCTCTGAAAGCCTTCGCGATACCCTTGCCCCAAGACCCTTGGCAATTGCAGGCGTCTGTCTAGCAATCAGTTACTGTGACGCACTGGGATCAAGGGGTTTGCTCACGAATTAGAGCTGCACCGTCTGGAGCATGAAAAAGGTTGCCCTCAATCTCTGTTATTTTGCCTTGTACTGCAGGTAGATCCATTGTGGTTGAGACTGGAGGGTTCGATATCCTGTGAAAGCTAGTGGTGGAAGAGTGGTGCTAGAATTAAGTGAAAATAAGCAGGTATCATCGACTATTCTTGTAACAATTAGAATTCGTACCACATTGCTTATGCTTAAAAAGAAGTGTCAGAGAAGCCAAGTGATGAGTCACTGCAATGAAAGGTGCTGCGACACGAGTCTAACTGCGCCATTACACGCCTAGCAAGGAACAGTCTACATCGCAATGAACGATTGTAATTAGAGTCCTAATGAACTAGCTACATAATGGCTCAATCTTCCTCATACCGCTCCACACTGCGTTCATTTAAAATCGCTAGGAATACCCAATTTCCCAGGAAAAGTAACAATATACCCCATCACCATTATCGATCAAAGCCGCAGTAAAGAATGGACAGGCGGAATAGGCTGAGTTTGATGAACGTCACCTATAGATCCGTGGCCTGAACGACGGGGCAAACGGAGTCTCGCATGCTCCTAGATTTCCTGACTGTATTCGATTCCCCTTCACTGGAAACATTCCTTCTTCCAGCATCGTTCCATTCTCGTCGACGCGAATCGAATCCAGGAGTCCAAGAGGAAGTCGTTGCTACAGACAAGGGTGCACTAGTGGTGCTGTTTGATTTCATCCTTCGCCTCATCGACCGTGAGATACTTCTGAGTATCCCTGCATCCTGGTCTTCGGCGTGGCCTTCTAGCCGGGCAATTTCACCCATCATAGTCACTCCATTTGTTGCAAAGTTCTCTTCAGATATTGGGATGTACAAGACAACACCCCTGCTCGGCGCGACATGAAGCAGGTCCTGAAGTGCTGCTTGAATAAGTATCGTGTTTCGCAGGTTGGTAATTGGCGCGATGAGATATGGCAAGGCGAAGACTTTCATCAAATACGCGGGAAGTGTGGAGTTGCCAAAATAGAGACATGCATCTTGCTGAATAGTGACCATCATGAAGGCATCGGGCTTCTGATAGATTTGAGCCAAACGGCTAGTCAGGTCAGAGGCAAGTTTGGAATCGTCGTAACTAATCTAAAACAGAAGGGTTAGCGCAGATAACGACCTTGAATCTATGATTGACACACCCTCGAGTTCGTCTTGATTTCGATCACAACGACGGAATCATTGCTGATGCGAGTTCTTGGGGAGATAAGCGGGCCACGAGTGTTGAACAGGTCTTCACAGTAGCGACTCTTTGTCCGAGGTGACTGCTCATCATCGACGCTCCTGTGCGCGACGTGGACTGATTGAGCATCCGGAGAAACGCCATGTTTCAAATCAGGGACAACATGGTCATCTTCCTCTTTATCCTCGAAGAACATGGACGGCTTGATTGCAGCTCTTTCCAACTTGTTCTTTTGTTTCAAAGTCTCTTCCGGGACCGTTTTGCTCGTCAACGCTTGGAACATTGCGGGAGATTGAAGCACCGGTACAGTTGGAGAAAGACTTGTGGATGAGGTCGTCGAGTAGTTGTGACGTCTTCGCAGGAAAGAGAGGTCCATTCTAGCAAATAATCGTCAGATTAATTCCTTAGAGTGTCTGTTCGACTTGAAACTAACCTCATCGAGTTCCTTGTACGGACTCTCCACCCGCCTGAGCTCGAACTTGAGTCCATGGCTGATGATCGCTGGTACGCTGCGGAGGAGAGAAACAGAAGAGAAAGACTACCACATATAGAACAGTTTCCCCTTCCTTCCGGCTTCGGGTCCTCTGGCTTAACTTGGAGTATGGCTTCTGCGCACCTTCCTGCAATTGAGTGCGGGATAAGGAAAGCTCATTTACACTTCCACACGGCAGGAAGCAAACACCCAAGGACGACAAATGGAGGGGGAAAAAAGAAAATTAAAGACCAAAAGGTCCACCAGACATAGTACAATTCATAAGATGGTAAGATATCGGCATGCAGAGTGTTGATACACTGGAAGGAACTGGAAGTTATGCCTGCTTGGGCATCTTCGAATCCTAAGCCAGAAACCCCAGAAAGTCGAAAGCAGAATTTCCACTCAGAAAGATCTTATCAGTCCTCCTTCTTTTATCCCAGACGATTTCCCCGTCGGACTTGCGTTTGATATAGAGTATGCGATGCTGCGGAATGAACTCTTCGTCGGTCAGATCCTTCTTCCATGAGCTCAGGTTCGCCTCCAAACGTCCATTGAATCGGTCCTCGTATCCAATGGTGTAGTCGTTACTGTCAAATTTGGTGTCCCAGATGAGCCTGTTAATGACGTCTGTACCCAATCTTGTCAATCAATGCTGGTGAAAAGTAGTTTGAAAATACAATACCTGCCGCTGGCCGTAGTCTGTTCTCCGCCGAAGTTGAGCTTTTTGACGTCGACGAGGCATGGTCATGCGATTCATCAGGCTCTGTGTGAGGTATTGCAGTCGGCGATGAGCTTGAAATATCTTCATTCTGTACACTGGTTGCTGAATTGTTGCCAGTCTTATGTTCCTGAGATACAGCGGATAGATCAGACGCCATGGTCAACAACGAATATTTGCAAAAGATTCCAATCCCAATGTGAATGTTGATCTATCTTCCGACACTGTTCGAGTTCGAAGGGCATGCCCGTCATACTTATACCCTGAAAAGGATGTCATATCTTCACATAAGATTCGCCTTGACAAGTCGACTCCCAATCTACATTTTGTGTAGCCGTAACAAAGAGTGACTCCAGTTACTTCACCTGGGCCTCCGTGTAATGACTTCAATAGCACTTGATTCTGGCATCCCTCGTCGCCTGATATGGGGCTAGCTGGTCTGGGGTGCAACTGATGCAAAAGTGATCGTTGCTTTCGACCAATCCTAGCTTTGCTATGGCTTTAGATGAGTCAAAATTGGGGCGCAGGATCCTCAAACTCATAGTGTGACTGCTCAATAAGGAGATGACTCATTATGAGTGATACGCTAAGATCCAGTTGGCAATTACTGATTAGCCCGAAGCTTTGATGGATTATCCCAAAGCTGGGTTGACAGACAGTACAGAAATGACGAGTTTAGAGAGGGCAAAAAGCGAAAAGCAAAAAGATAACTGAGCTCCGATAGGGGGAATCGAACCCCCGGCTGCCGTGTGAGAGACGGCGATGTTAGCCACTACACCATATCGGACTTCCTTGAATGAAGCGACCAAAATTTTACCATTATGAGACAAATCCGTTAGCACCTCGGAGACCGATGCTAAACGTGTTTTGGTAGTGTACTGTACTGTCATCCTGATACGCACTACTGATGCATTCCATAGGCCTAGAGTGTATCTATATAACCAGGCCTGTGTCTGCCCACCAAGAGGCGGCGATGCCGACGTTCAAACAAAACACTACGGTTCCTTGGAGAAACACCCCGTTCTATCGTGGTCCTTGTATCGTCACCGCGAGTAGTACCATAACAGATTCCTATCGGAAGACGTCGCGTTTCTAGACCTGCAACACAGACCAGCAAAAACATCAAGTGCCGTCCTTCGCGTCTATATCGTCTCCTCCCGCATTTCGCGCTTTTCGCGACACCCGATCAGGTCCCCGGTCTACAAGTACTGTCGGATAATTCACCTATGTCAGTATGAATGACGTGACGACCTCCTTGCTCACAGAGCATTTCAGTTATACACCCTTGGTTCGTTTCCCTCCCACCGAGATCGTCTTCCAATTTGCAGTTGGGAACGTGAAATCTTTTGCCGTATCATGTGCCTAATTCTTCACAGTCTCTCATAGATGATATTATAAACTCAATCAACAATCTCATATACCAGGCCATCTCAAGCCTCGAGTCCGGCTTACTCGCAACTCCCCCCGAGCGTTTGGGCTTTGCGCATGCAAATAATGCCTCTACGATACCCGACACAGATGAAGATGGCAACGTTGTTTACCCGGAAGCCAAACTGGAACTCGAAAATGGTCTACACCAGTTAGAAACGCTCCTCGAGGCGACCGTGGACAAGGCATTCGATAAATTTGAGATCTACGTCCTGCGCAACATCTTCACCGTGCCCGACGACTTATTGAATTGGATCAGATTGAGCCATCATGAGGTATGAGATCCGGTGTTCGCGACTGCGCGCCTCAACATCCCTGCGTCGCTTGAGCATGTGTTGACTTTCAGCTCATGCAGAACCTTGTTCTTGATCCCTCCCCGAATGCGCCTACTCCTGAAACGATCCACGCACTCCGCAAAAAGTTGAATGAGACCAAGAAACTAAACCGATCTTTGAAACGCGAGAGCGCGCAAAACGAGGCTGTAATCTCACAGTTACGATCGATATTATCGACAGTACAAGCGCCCGATGTCGCGAAAAACACGAATGGAGAGAGCAAGGCCGAAACCCTTGTACCAACACAAGACAAGAAGGACCTTGACCTTTCTTTCTTGACGTCCAGTCCGGCTGCGCAGCAACTACGTGTCGGGGTTAATACTGGCTCGAATACCCAGTATACACCGCTCACGACGAACACGACTTTTATTCTGTCCCAACTTCCTGCACTGCAAGCGATGTTGAAGCAGCTCCGGCCCAAGCTTGTTTCTCTACCCAAGTCCAGCGATATTCTGGAGACAGACGCCAAGTTCGATGAGAGGAGGGAGTATATTGAAAGTAGAATCAAGCTGCATCTTGAGCGGACCGGACAGGTACCGGTCGGAGCTAACGGCAGCCCGACGATTGTCGGACGGAAAATTGACATGGCGGAAGCACAAGCGCTTGAGACTGTTACTGGTATCCTTACAAAAGATGAAAAGGAGGACTGATCAAGCTGTTGTGGAGGAGAGTTGATGGAGATATCAAATCAGMCCCATCTACTATCGAGTATGATATGCGATCCTACCGCATCTCCTCCATCGTTATCGGCTCTACGCACTGCAATTCGTCCACTCCACGCGAATTCTCCACAACAGGCATGTTCCTGTCACCGTCCACACAGTCTGGGTCGCCCAGCAGAAGTGTTTCGCTTCGCTTTCGGCGATGCTATAATCAAGTATCTCGGCAAAAGAGGCTGTCTTGACTTTCGATTGATGCCTGAAGCCGGGGTTCTCGGTTTAGAGCGTATGCTCGCTAGTGGATTAGCTTAAGGACGCACACCAACGCAAAGGGAACACCCAGGAGCCTGAATTGCACCAAGTTTGGGTTGTTTACCTCGAAAGTCGGATGTGTCGCACCGGCCAACGGCTGCATCGAACAAAGCAAAAGCTTCTGACGGGGAGCTTATTTTTGTGACTAAGAGTTATCTGGATGTCGAACCTCGCTTACAGAATCTTGTGTCCTTAATACTATTTCTGAGAGTCTAACAATAGGATAGTATTGTAATGTTTATCTAGTCAGAACAAATAGTTTCTTGACGCCTGGGTGCCTTGAGACAGCATAGATGTACAGAGTAGAGCAATACCCGCTAACCCAAAGCAGCGGTCATGTGAGCACAGGACTCTCTTCTCGTAGCCCGCGGCTTGGCATCATCAACTCCCTCTGCAGCCACCACCGCGTTGGCCGATTCACTCGTCAGTCCTACTCCGCTTTGTCGCAAGGTGTATATTCGATGGACACCGGTATACTTGTGCTGTAGTGGCATAAGGCTCCGTGCAAGATCTTTGCATCGACTCTCCCTTGCCCGTCGTTGTCCGGTGCTGCCCTCCGTTCCCCACATGTCTCGCGCATCGGCTATACCAACGTCTATTCTCGGAGCCCGGCTTCCTTCTGCCATCCTCGAATCGGTGTCCCGATAAGTCGCGTACACTCAACACTGACTGTACTCGCGTCGCGGGGTTTGATTGTCGACGACATGGCGACGGCAATTTCGAAACCTACCTCCCATCCCCCCAAGATGAAGCGGCCGCCCCCGCCTTTCGTCCCAGGTGGTGTTAATGGGGTCAAGCCTCAGCAGTCATCTTCCTCTTCCTCTCCACCCTCTACATCGAAACGTCTGCCTGGTTCTAATCAACCGACTTCCTCACCCACCACTAATGGCCCGGTCACGAATGGCATCAATGCCTCGGCTAATTCGACCTCCACCTCGACCAATAATTCAAACAAGGGTCTCCTGAACAGGCCCAAGAAAGATTCGCAGAAGCCAGGGGATCAGGCATTGCGAATCCAGAAGCAACTGGGGAAGACGCCGACTACGGAAAGGGATTCCAGGCTGGGGAAGATATGTCCTGAACCACATGGTGAGGCGCCGATCAGCTTCTGCAGTATTGGGGCTTGCGGGTTGCTGTTTACTGACGATTGCGACTTCTACAGTTAAAACAACTTCCTACATCCTGAGAAAATATTCTAAATGCCCTCCGTCCCTGATCGTACACCTTCACCCTACTCATTTCCGGTTTGAACAACAAGATGGCAGTTTCCCCTACAACTCCGAGATGAAGGTAGTAATCGAGCATATCCGTGCCGGTACTGTTCCCCATGACATGATGGAGGAGTTATTACGGGCCAATGTTCGATTCTACGAAGGTCAGGACTCACCCCTATTACATCATTGCGCGATTGTGGCCGCTAACAGGGGTTTTCGCATGCAGGTTGTCTCATAGTTCGAGTGGTGGATCACAAGTCAGTATCGGCCCAAGCCAGAAAATCGACTGCGCCATCAACGAATGGGAACAACACTCCTTTCTCGATACACAACTACAATGAACACATCACTCCGTCGGCCTATGTGCCGTATCCGAAACAAAATCAGTTAACCTCCGAGGCCGCTGTTACGAAGACAGATGCAGCCGCCGGCAACCAGTCAGATGACAAGGACAAAGAAGAGCGAACGGGCGATTCGGAAAGTTCTAAAAAGGAGAGTGACTCGGATGCATTTCAAAAGCAGTCCCCGGCGAAACCGCGGGTGTTCACGACCGTCCTTCATCCTACTCCTCGCTCGCTACAGGCGGAACTCACGTTGCTTGCTACCACGCCTGATCCTCGTGCTGCAAAACAGTCCGCCACACACTCAAGCACCCGCCCGCAGCCCTCGTCTTCTACAGCCCCACAGTCTCCAGTGGTGTCTTCCAATCCACCGGACCGAGGCCATGTTGCAAAGCGACAGAAGATGCTAGTGGAACCGCAGGATCTATTGGATTGTGAGTCTAAACTAACGCGAGCGTTGGCACCGCCTCTTTTCTTGGATCCAGTGGAGAGTCTGGAAGCAGCGCAAGATCTGCTGAAATATTTGGAAAGTCCCCTTCATTGCGCTCCACCCCCGTCTCCGAAGAGAAGGAAGCGTACCGTGGCAGAGCTCGCTGCGGACGAGGCCCTCGCGGCGGAGGAGGAGCGGTTCATGCTCATCATGGACGAAAGGTTGGAACCGGCCACGTCAGGAGCTGCTGGTGGGCCCAAGTCCGCTGCTGTTGATGACACCGGTGCTGGTGCACCATTCGAGCCGCGCTTCTCAAGATTTAAGACGCTCGAGAATATCCGCTTGCAGCACGAGGAGAAGGCCAAGCGGGAACACGAGATCAAAGTCAAGCAAGAGATGGCCAAGCGACAGCAACAGGAACAAGAAAGAGAGAGGCGTCGGCTGCTGGAGCAGCGTCAAGCAGAGGAGCATGCCAAGGAGGAAGCTCGGAGGCAGCATCTGGCCGCGCAACAGGCGCAGGCACAGCTTGCTGCACAGCAGCAGAACCGACATGTCATGACGCAGGCAAACGGAGTCAGTCAGGCTCCCCAATCGTCACCGGTGGTTCGCAATCAGACACCTCTCAACGCCTCGTCACCACTGGTCGGCAGTACAATGGTCACCCAAGCTGGTGTTCCCATGAGCATGACATCTTCTGCACAGGGTGCAGGAAGCCCGCCGCGACCTCCGTCGGCCTTACAACACGGTCATCCGAATATGATGAGCCATCCGATGGCGCCCTCGAGGAGCCAGCAGGGCCAGAGTCGGCACGGCACTCCTCAGATGACTCAGGGAACACCGGCCATGTCCCATGCAACTCCGATTATGCGCAACGTCACACCCACTCAGCGCATGAGCCACGGCAGCCCAAGCCAGTCGACCATGGCTGCAACACCAGTAATGAGCCAAGCCATGATGAACACTCCGCAGATGGGAGGTGGTATGGGTCTTACGCCTCAACAACAGCAAATGATACTGCAGAGGCAGCAGTTACTCGCGCAACACGGACAACTCGGACCCGCTCAGTTCACACCGCAGCAGCTTGCTCAGTTGCAAGCGAACGCGCATGCTCAGCAAAACATTCAGTCACATCAGCAGCAGATGATGCAAGCTCAGCAGCAGAATCATCAGGCGCAGCAGCAGAAGCTGGGGAACCAGCAGACGTATCAAGCTTCACTGCTGCGAAACCAGTGGAGCCAGATGCAGATGGCTCAGCAGCAGACGCAGGGCCAGCAGCCACAGGCTCAACAAGGCCAGGTCCATCAGGGCAGCCCGCAAATGACTCCTCAGCAGCAGCAGCAGATGATGATGGCGGCAGCTGCTCAAGCCAATGCTGGACACATGCCGCAGAATTTCCAGGGCGTCAATATGGCACAGCGGTACAGCCAACTCTACCAACAACGCCTGCTACGTCTCCGGCAGGAGATGTCTACTCGGTTTATGGCTCAATATGGGCCGCCAACGCAATATCCACCCCATATTGCACAGCAGTATAGCATTGGACTCGAGCGGAGCGCCAAAGCCTGGGTGCAGGAGATTATACGGCGCGAACGTGAAGCGGCTCAGCAGCAACGTGCCTCGCAAGTAGCAGCTGTTCAGGCGCAGGTTATGCAGCAACAACAGCAGCAGAATATGATGCACAATGCCATGGGGAAGTAGTTTGTTTTTCTTTTTACTCTTTCAGCGTTTCGGGATAGGCGATGGGCGATCTAATGAGATCTCTGGGTTTGTTATCGCCATGCATTTGATTCTACCTTCGTGTGGTCAGGTGGACCTTTTAGGGGGCGACTCCTTTTCTTCGTCAATTTTTTCTTATTTGCAGACTGTACAGGGACCGATGGAATATCGATAAAAGAGCCTGGCGTTTGACTCGATACTGGTTTGACATTTTGCGGGTTGTCCTTTCCATGCGCGCTTGGTGGTTGTATCATTTGGGAAAGGGCTTTGGGGAACTGAGAACAGACTTGATACCATTTGTACAGGATTTTCCATTTGCTTGCGGTTGCTACCAGGAGGCGCATTTGATTGATATTTGATATGCTTGATAGTGAATACATCCATTGATTGGAGATATCGTCTCGCCTCAACCTGGTAGAACCTCTGCCGACGCTGTGCATAGAACTGTAGCTCTGCCTCTGAAGAGGTCTCGTCTGTAACTTAAATATATTAAATCAACTAAGTACTTGCGAAAATCAAAGATATCCTAAGAACACCGGACTATGTGCTTTCCCTAAGTATCAACAACTCGATGGCAGTCTAAGATATAACTAGCTATATATCCACCCACAGCATCAGCACGCTATGTATAAGCTTCCTCGTGTCTAGGATATATCCATCCCCTAAGAGAGTACAGATCTACAGTATGAAATCACTTTCTCATATCCATAATATATATAACAGCTCTCTGTCGAGTGTTTCACTACTAGTCATGATCCTGAACGAGGCTTTTACATATTGCCAGGTAAAAGTATACAGCTTGAAGTTGACCAGCTATTGTCGCCTTTTCTAGAGATATCACGATAAGAATTATTCCTCTGAAAGGTGAGCTGATATAGAATAATCCCAATTGTAGTCTACAATGCACTTCAGAATCATGGGGACTCAACAGCACAACTTCAGAGGCGATGATCCCTGACTAGTGCGTCAAGTGGTGTA